GATACTATATTCTATTATATATTATAGTATATATATTACTTATAATATACACTACAGTATACATGTTACATATAATATATTTTTGCATACTAAATATGTATTTAGTATATAGATATAAAGCTGCTGCGAGAAAGTAGTTTTCTTTCTGATAACACTTTTTGCTTTTATGTAGCACTTTTATCTGTTTATGCACAAGTCTACAAAGTAGGCTTATATTTTGGGTTGTGCATTCTGCTGTACTAAATGATAAAAGCTGACCACTATTGCTTCCTTTTCACTAGCTAAAGCCTTTGCTGAAAGTAGTAAGTATTATACTTTTTCAAAAATCTCTGCTGAGCTTCAGTTTTGCCATACTCCAGTTGTTGAGCATAACTGAAAGATCAATGAAGTAATACAGGGAGAGAAACACACTATAATCCGTGGCTATAACAGTACTCTAAGGGAGACAAATAAAACACAAGAAATTTGGAGAATACGTCAACCTGCTGGATCCATATATGGAAGGATTTTCACAGGAGGCGTGGAAAAATGGGTGTCATGGATTTTGTACTGATTCAGCATAACAGCACAGAAGCTTAATTTTAGTTTCATTTAGTTCATTAAGAAAAAGTTTGGGTTTTTTTCCTCAAAACTTTAATTACCAAAAAAAATACATTCTATTTAAGTTGGTAGATTATATACTATAGCATCTGGACTAATCAATGACATATTACAGTATGCTGGAAATGTCCTTTTCACTGAGTCACACAATAAAAGCATATTTTGATTTAAGTCTCAAATACTAGTTTCTTTGGACCGAAAATGAAACTTATTTGAATTATTTAATTGAGCAAAAGGAAAGCACTAAAATCAGTGCTCTCTTTGTAATCCAGGCACTGTTCCTACTGAGGTGACTAGGAATTAAATCCAAATGAGGACTGAACAGACTCTGAAAGGAAATGTGCATGCTATGAAGACTGACAAAGTGCACTCTTTTAAAAGGAAGAATCGTTCTGTATGTAGGGAGAAACTTGTTTACAATCCAAGTTTTCTACAAGACCAAGCCAGCCACCTTATTTTCTCAGTTCTTCTATCAGAAAATTGGAAATAAGGAAACTAATTACCTTTCCCTTGTGTGCTTCATTTTTAAATTAGAATCCAAGTGTGTTAAGAGGAGCACTATTTTCTGCTATATTGCTTTTACAGTACCGGAGTAAGGCAAGTCTCTTTAGGACTCTTTAACCATTACAATATAAGAAATAGCAAACAACAGTAATATTTTACCTAACTTGGATAGTTTTCTTTGTGGCTCTGAGAAAAGCCTTTGGGATTCCCAAGAGCTGACCAATTTGGATGGACTGGTAAATGTAGTAAAACTCCTCAGCTATGACTTCAAGATCCATACAGGCCAGGCAAGGGCTAGATCATGAGCTGAGGCACAGCTCTGCTGATCATGGCTGACTTGCCATCAGGTACAGGGAGGCAACACGCACTGGGGCACGTGCAATGGCATAACTTCCCTTTCTCCCTCCTCCTCCCCAAATCCCATGACTAAGACAATTTTCTGTATCTATCTGATGCTGGAAGAGTATGTTTTGACAACTCTTCATTTCTGATCATAATTTAACCAGACATAGTGCATATAGGCATAAAGCCGCATTGATGCCTGAGTTCGACAGGCCTTTTACTATTGGTTGACTTTCCTCCCCACCCCCCGCATAATCCTTTGTGGCCTTTGTTTCTTGCTAATGATTCATTTTACATGCTTATGGTACTATTTATATTTCCCCTTCTTGGTTCATTTCACAGCATTCATCTCTAATGAACCAGTCAATACAGTAGACTTTGATTTTCAAAAAGCTTTCAAAAAGTTTCCTCATCAAATGCTTGTAAAGAAACTGTGCACATTGGATAAAGGGAAAGTCCTTTAAGGCATTAGTAACTGCGGAAAGCTGAGAGGAAGGGAGGGAAAATAGTAAGAAGGAAAAGTTAATTTTTGCAAAGGCTGAGTGTTAGTAGGAAGATTTAGTGACATAAGTGGCCTACCTCAAGCTGGGTTGTGCTCTGTTCAACACAGTTGTAAGGGATTTCAGGTTAATAAGAGTGTGAAAAGCTTACAGATATTTCAGTGGACTATGAAGAGTTAAAGCAAGTCTTCAAAAAGCAGTCTGACTAGGCAATAAAATGGAACATGAAATTCAATATCGGTAAGTATAAAGCAATATCATTACATGTGCATTAGAGATGGATAAAACCAGAAGTGCTTCAGCATTGCATCATGCCATTGATCAATCATTTTATGAAAATATTAAGGGCCAGGAGGTTCAGAGGAAAAGTTTCAATTTTGTCTGTCACAGATACATTTTGGAACTATTTTTGTCCTTAGTGATGACCCTGTAATTGTAATCCTACTGATATAATTGTGGCTGCATTAATGGAAGACTTTACCCAAATTTGTTTTCTTTACTCTTTTTTAAACTTTTGTCACTTTCTGTCTGATGGTCAGACTAAATATTAACCTTTTTTGATTTATCAGAAAGGTGTTGTGTTTGGTTTTTTTTTTTTTTTTTTTTTTAAATAAAATCTTGGCATACAACTTCTTGGTTTCCTGTTATATTGGAAGGATATTCAGAGGAAAAAGTCTCCTAAAGAAATCAGAAATCAGGGGGGAGCTGTTCCAGTTAGCTGAAACAGCTAGGAAACAAACTTCTTTCTTCAGCTTTTTCTGTAAAAGAAGGCTCCAGAGCCCCTTTAACACATGGTGACTAGCTGAGAAGAGAGGTAGGTAGCTTTCCAACAAGTGGAAATAACTAATGGAGGAAAAATAATGTCCCAAAATTAATGACTAATTAGATGTCCCTTCTTGCCTTCTTCTTGCAATGCTTCCAGAGCTCCATGCATAGTCAGTAAAGACTGTTAATTTGAAATTGATGTGTATATTACATTTCTTTAATAAGACACACATCATCTTTGTGATTAGCTATTTATGGTAGTCACCTTTCTCACTGCATCTCAGAAGAGTTCGTTAGTGACTCAGAATTACCGCTTCAGAGTCCCATCCTGCTTGTTTGCATATATTGGTAACCCTATTATACAAATGCTGGTGGTATTAGAGTACAAAACCCATGCTAAAACAATTCCCCCTAATGGCTATACTCTAATAGTGAATTACAATGAATTCCAGCTGGATCAGTTTCCTCATAAGCATTGTAATTCCTTCTGACCTAACTGATAATTGAATCTCCTTCACCTTCCCAACTTGCTAATGGACGAACATACAGAGAAGAATGGTTTAGAGTACTGTAGGCAACAAAAATGTTCATTATGCAGATTGAAGACTATATCTCTTCTCCACTCAAAGTTTAGTCACTGGTTCTCAGGCAGATTGCTTGGGAATGAACCAGAGATGAGAGAAAAAAAAAGTCTCAGAAAAGCTTCAGGTAATATATAACAAATGTAATTGGGGGATTAATCTTTCTGAGTGACAGTGTAGGTTTAAAAGAGAAGAATGATGTGAAAGAGTACAAGAAATATCGACTCTGCTCTTTATAAGGTGACTGAAGTAATGAGTCAATGAGGTCTGATCTCATGTCCACTACACTTATAAGACTCTTCACAACTGCAGTAATAAAAATGTATAGGACGGAATGCATTATAAAGGGGACAGTCTGCAATTCTGAATTTAACCAATGCATCATAGTATTGTTTCAAGATAAATCAGACTTCAAGCCTCGCAAGCAGTGTTTTCTGAGGCACTTTTCAGGGTTCGCAATGTTCTAAGGATGAAACTTCAACATATTTTCAAGAAAAGAATTTAAAGAAATTTCTTTATAATTTACTTTTAAAGAATGTATAGTGCAGGAATTTTTATTGTTGCCATGTCAAAACTGCTATCAATCATAATGGAAAACCTGTGTATGTATTGATTTTTTGCTGTAGACATTAATTCTATGAGAAATTGTTAAGTGAGGGATGGAGAGGAAAGGAAAAATAACTGGAAGATTTATATATATTGAAGGTGATCTATGTCCATATAGGGCTTACATCTTTGCCAATCAGATCCTCTTGATTTTCCACAATCCCCCAGGGAGCTATACCAATGGTGCAGATCTTCCCTCGAGATTTTGAGGCATGATCTTTCAGTGCATCTCCAACATGCCGAATGACTCCTGGGAAAGAAACAGCATAGAATAGGAATTCATAATTATGTCCTTTTTGTTCATTATAGTATAGACTTAGTATAGAATTCTTTTTTAAGGAATATCTATTCATATACTTACAATTAACTAAAGCTATCAATATATTCCTATTTATTATTATTATTACAGTAATACTCTAAGTCCATTTTATCTAATCTAAAAAATATTAAATGAAGTAGCAAGAAAAAAATTACACAGCTCTAGAAATTAGAATGGAAATATTGACAGCTGACTGTAACTTGTTTTCACAAACATACATGCATGCAAGCATTTGTATCCTTCCCAAGCATAGAAAGAAGCACAGGAACTAACATCCCGCCCCCAAAACCACCCAAAAAGTGTAGCTCACACACAAATGTTCCCTCTGTCTGAATAAAGCATGGAAATGTGAAAACATCATTACACTACTCTGTAGTCAGCTGTTCTACCATTCTTTCCAAACAAACTCAGTCACATGAGGTACTTTTCCAGTAGAGTATTAGAAAAGCTCCTGGGGATCAGTGAGAAAACAGAAATTAGTACAGGAAGAATGACTGCTCCCCAACTCTCTTAAGTGCTTTCTGGTAATGTCCCTTGTATGCTTTAGGCCAGCTTTGTCAGTGTTTCAATGGTATCTCTGTGCAGAGGACAAGTGCCATTCCTCCTTCCTCTTCATAAACCAATTTTTTTACCTGTGTATCAATAACTATTTTTGTGATGTGGCTGCACTGAAGCAGACCTGTGGATTTGCTGCGGATGTTATCCATTACTCAGTTTCTGTGTTTGCTTCTTGTTCAGATTCCACACTTTCAAGATAACTGGATTGGAATTACAGCAAACACAATAGATGTGATTTTAGCTGTAGCTTTTCTGCACCATAAATGAACATGTAAGAAAAAACGCCCACAACCTAACAAATCCTCTAAGTCCTGGAGTCTAATTTCCTTCCTGTGGTGGAAAAGGAAAAAACTAAAACCCTGTACCCGCAATCAGATATTAATTAAGCTATGATCCGGCAAACCAAAGGATTCAAGGCAGACAATCTGCCCAGACCTCAAAAACTTCTGTTCTTTAGAATAATCAGCTTCTGGCATGACATGAATATTCAGAGCAACTTTTTAAAGTCATTTAATAGTCATGGTTACAACCAGGTATGCACCATCCCTGTAACATCACTGATTCTGAGTCCAACAGCAGTATTTCAGGATTTTTCAATTATACTTATCCTTAACAGAAATCTGATTTAAAAATTCATCATCAACAAACAGACTGTACTCAGAAATTCTCAATTTGTACAATTTCACGTAGAGAAATTTTCACCTACACGGTTTGTAATCTCACCCCTAGAACAATCAACTGCTTTGCTCCAGAAATCAAAAACAGCAATAAGAGGTAACTGATAATGCAGAACTGTTTCTGCAATTATGTTTTTAAACTAACACACAGCAACTTGAACTTCATTGTTCTGTCTAGGTAATTTTTGATTACAGGAAAAAAAAATCTTTTTTAGCAGTAGTTGTGTTGACTTTCCTGGTTCATTTGCATTGTTTGGCATTTGCAACTACGATGATTTGAAAAATGGCATGAAGCAGTCGCGCATTTGCCAAATGCAAATGTTATAATCAGTCCTTGTTTAAAAAATTTCTGTAGTTTGATTTATACAGTTCCTGTGGTAATCCATTGCAATGAGTGTACAATATCTACAGTTATCTAATGTGCTTTTAACTTAAAATTTGTATCTGTCTTTGCCATCATCACTACAAGAGTATCTGCCAAGTAACATAACTAACACCACAGTACACAGGTCAACATTTAACCTGATTCTCCCAGGCAACTAGTGACAGGACACGAGGGCATAGTCTGAAACTGCACCAGGGGAAGGCTCAGCCTAGAAATGAGGAGGCCTTTCTTCACAGAAAGGGTCATTAGGTATTGGAATGGGCTGCCCAGGGAGGTGGTGGAGTCCCCATCCCTGGAGGTCTTTAAGAAAAGACTGGGTGTGGCACTTAGTGCCATGATCTGTTTGACATGGTGGTGTTAGGGCAAAGGTTGGACTCGATGATCCCAGAGTTCTCTTCCAACCAAATCAATTCTGTGATTCTGTGATTTTCTTCCTTGTTCTGCAGAGATGTATGGGGTATTACATATGTGTGAGGCTGTCTATCTGCCTAACACTCCAGAAGCTATGCCTCTTCTTTGCTAATTGTATTGCTGCTGTCATAAAAATGAATATTGTTTCAGATTTGATGTGCTCTGGAAAATAAAAAGCCCAAGACTCCTATTAAATGTTCATATTCAAATATGTAGGAGCTGATCCACAATGCACTAAAATTAATGCATGATAGAGTGATTACAATGTTTTCCATAGACAGTAAGGGGATACACTCTGTGGGATTACTAAGGTAACGAATTATAACCTTGTTACTGCAGTAAATGAGAACAACATAGGAATTTACAAGTATATGTTCTAGCTCAAAACTTTTTGCATTTATCTCTAGCAGAACTCTTTGACTTTCCGCAGAATCATTCCTCCTTTCTGCCCTCCTTCAAGGGGGGCAACTGGGAAGCCACTGCCCAACCTTTTTTATCTGGAGAACTGTTTTGCAGCTTACTCCCAAAACCCAAATGCTGCCTCCCAGCAGAGCTGGGCCAGCTGCTATCTTGGGTCATTAGGACACACATGTAGTATGTTACAGATGTTCTTAACTTCGAATAGAAATGGCAATGTTATTGCTTTGGCTGCAGGAGTAATAGAAAAAAAAATAGGTCAAGCTGCCTACAAGAAAGGGAAACTGATACTTATTCATAATAAAGTTTTCCATCACATCCACAAAAGAGAACCTTTTGTCCTTTCATAGTTTGAATCATCTTATAAGATAAAATAAAGGTCTTTTCTGGATGAAAATATTTTCCATTTTATGTAATAAGAGTTTGACTTCTTCAGTTTCTGGTTAGTAGTTTCTCCCTGTAGCTTACTGTTGATCTTATAAAGTCTTCACTGGCAATATACTAATATAATTGCCTCATAGAAGGCTTTATTTTCAGATCCCCAGCGTACTTTTCATGCTTTAGCAAACCTTTTATTCCCTGGTTGCTGCCAGGCTGGTATGAACTCGGCATTTTCTTGTTTGCACATAGTAGAGCCAACACCCATAAAATAAAACATGGAATGGCTTCTTAATCTCATCACTCCTAGTTTTTTTTTTTCTGTGGTGAAATCTCCTAGATGCCACTGTACTTTCATTTCAAAGATGCTGTTACCTGTGTTTACTCCTCCAGTGAATATCCACGCTCCAGTTGTCATAGCAGCTTTAATGAGGCCTTTTCCAAAGACTTGCTTGAGTTTTGGCTGAAGTTCAAAATTCTGAAGGCCCCCGTGCACAGAGATGAGAAGTTTAGGGAGCTCAAGCTGCCACTCTTTGGTCATCAGGTGCAGAAGAAGGTCGGGCTTTGTGTCAAAAGACACACGTACATACTGCAGAAATAATGGCAGTAGTAGAGAAAAAAAGATTGGTTATACTCACTGGTTCCTAATACATATGATCTATCCCCTCAGAGTACTGAAAAAAGGCAACCTTTATGACAAAATCACTAATTGCTAACTTGCTGATTTTTCAAAAGTTAGGAAACTAGGAATAATGGAACACGTGCAATTTACAGACTGATCAATTTTCCTTTATTTAAGAAATTCAGTCATTAATTGTTTCAATATGTTTAGCAATGCTTGAAAGATAAATGTCTTTAATTTCTGGATGCAAAATCTGGAGCAAAAATTTAAGTGGTATGCCAAAGATGAGCTAGGTAGTCAGAATCACAGTTGTGCATTCGCTTGTATCTTATTTTCAAATTAACAAAGTCAAACTCTCAAAAGGGAGGAAATAACAGAAACAAGCTCCATTCAAGCACACGTAAGTTTAAATTGAGCAGGACTACTAGACAGGTACTTTTCAGATGAATGAATGATAACTTATGACTGACAGACTGATTTGTATAGATTCATGAATTTGCCTAACAAGGCCGAAGACCCTAAAAATGCTTTGAAACACCTTTACACATTCCCAACTCCTGTCTCTTCTGTGCTACATCTGCAGCATTTTGCCCCAAGGGAGATAATGCCTATCTGTGTGTGCTCAAAGATAACAAATGTCTTCAAAATTTCTACAGCAGTACCATGTTGCACACATGCCTGTCTCATCCTGACAAGCCTTCCTCTCTGGGCTCTTTCTCCTGCTGTTTCTGTTGCTGATGTATGAAGAATTTCACAAAGCCCATGACAGGGCAGATGATACTTTTTTGAATTCAAGTTGTATAGCAGAAATGGGCCTTAAGAGGATAGAATTCTTTCGATGGCTGGTAAGGTCTGGAAGGACGCTCTTAATTGAATAAAATCAGTTATAAAAAGCCACTTATCTGTCAAACTTCTGTTTGAACCAATGCATGTAGAGTTACTTCAGTAGTCTTTCCCTTGATGGGTTGTCAGCACAGCCATGAGGTGTATAACATAGGTACCTTTGCTTTCAGCCAGAGGAATGCCTACTTCTAACTTACTTATTTTAACACGCCAGGTAGTATTATATCCACATATATTATGTAATCATCTTATCCCTTTTAAACACACCTAATCAGTGTTTCTTGCCGCAAGATTGTTCTTTTTTAGTAAGGCATATGACAGTAAAGTGGACTCCTTTCTAGTTGAGTAAGAAATAAGGACTTGACTTTTTCCAGAAGAAATTGATAGAATTAATAGACAGGTTTCTTTGCAAGAATGGGTTGTTGCACAGTGAGCAGCCATTCTTAATACTTCTGGAAGCAGAAGCCCATTTGGGCAAATAGTCACAGGGAAGCAAGGGGGGCACAGCCAAAGTGAAAGCTGAGGAAGAACTTGGGAATGTACATTCACTCCAGTGCATTAGTAATGTTCTCTGCAGCAGCCGGGCAAATTCATAACAGCTAAAGGACAAAGAACATACCATATTCAAGTCTGGCAAGAGCATAATGTACCCCCGAGTTTATATAAACATGAACTGCGTCCTCAGTAGCTATCCATTCAATTTTCTGCGTGGGAGTTGAGAAAATCTTACATGGCACCTGATCCCACTGACCAGATGGGGAAGCTAATAATTTTGATTAGGATTCAAGAGCTGTCAAAGTTTTAACACACCAGAGGGGTTGTGAGGAGACTGGTCCTTATTCCCTTTGCTCTGCCTTTAGGAAGAGCTGAGGTTGCAAACGCCAACACCTTGTTAAGGCTGCAGGCACTAACTGACGGACAACAGCCTTCAGGGGACCTACATGAAACCTCTGCTGGTCAAACTATGGAGATTATATTTTATGATCACTGGTACCTTACTCTGTTTTTTGGTGAAGACAAACCGGGATTTTTAAGATCATTAAAGTGAACTCATATTAGTAATGGCCATACAAATTTGCTGAAAACAGAGGCCACTGCATCATGATATTAAGATGAAGGCAGAAATGGCATCAGATATGTATTATCTAATTCAGCCAGTGACTGTTTTTTTTGAATGTATGACTCCACTGTCCCTCCCTTCTTAAGCCTATGTATTAATTGGTAAAAATCTCTTATTTTCTTATTCACTAAGACCTCTGAATTTCAATAAATATAAATCTGTATAGGGAATCACAAAGTTAGAAGAAACATTTTCTTAGGTTTATTTGAAAAGTAGACATCTTTTATTGCAAACAACTGCTTTTTCTTTACACTGCAGGCAAAACCCCTCTATACTTCCAATAAGATTTAATTTTATTTTATAAAGAGGAAATTTCAGCAAAAATAAATCTGAAAGTTTTGTTCACATAGATTAAAATTAAGTCATCATGGATAAGCTTTACTGTTTTAGAAGTGCTTTGAGAAGGGCTATGGTGCCAAACATCACAGGTTTTCTTCTGTGCATAGACCTCAATTTTTATGACTGTCTGATTCATTTTTGCTCTTACAGAGGCCGTTTTCAGTTTGGTATGCTTGGGATTACTCTTTTGCCATTACTTAACATGTTAGTAGTAAGTACAAGAGAATTCCTTTGTCATCACTTTCAAAGTATGCATTAAATTATGAAAAAACATTTTTAAGGCCATTTTCAGTTTGGTATGCTTGGGATTACTCTTTTGCCATTACTTAACATGTTAACTAGTAAGTACAACAGAATTCTTTTGTCATCGCTTTCAAAGTATGCATTAAATTATGAATAAACACTTTTAAGGCCATTTTTGTCCATATTAAAAATTCATGTCTTTCAATCTTGTAGCAGAATATTCGTCCTTTTCAGTTTTTGTTTAGAATCTTAACGAGTATTTCTGCCGTTCCTCAATTCTTTTGCTATAGCCTCCAGAGACAGATTTAAAATTTAAATATAAATCTAAGCTAAACCACTGCTGTTACCCTGAAATGCTATCTCTTGTGTATCTGTCAGCTGCAGAAATTACCAGTTCTAATGGCAAAAGATTTAGCCCCTTCTTTATGGGAGTGGCGTTTGGATAGGATGCAAGACTTCAGTTGTTATGTTATGCACAGCAGGGCAAAGATAGGAAGCAAAACTACAGTTTTGAACCACAAAATCTATGGACTGACCTGACTGACATCAGTATAACACTGTGAAATGATAAATCATCAAGTTCAAGCTGTCATGCCCATTTGATCCCCAAACTAGCAGAGAAGTAGTCAGCAAGGATGCCATTTGATGCCAATAGTTGTTTCACTTTCTTATTAAGTGGTTTCCTAAAAAATAACTGTGCCTATCATCAGTCAAACAGCCAGATTCTTGCAAGTTGGACTCCATTGACCTTGGGCAAAAATCAAAGTTCCTGAGTGGTAACATTACTACTCTGTTACTCATGCACAGCTGTCTCATTAAAGTACATGGTGAATGATTGCAGATAAGAGTCTCAGTTAATAAAATAGAAAGATTCGGAATTTTGTCGTATTTCTTCAGAGAAAATCTCTTCAGAGAACATTTTGTGACCTGCAGTCTAACGTTGTTCTTGTTTCTGTTTGATGCATGCAGGTACTGGGTGGCTATTTCACCTACTTTAAATAAGATTCCGTCACTGCAGACACTTCTCCAAGCTAAAGACTGATTCCTTCAAAGTGTGATCTTCAGATAAAAAATAGGTCTGATGAAATTCTCACTGAATTCAACAGAAAAATTGTCACTTAGACTGAAACTGGACTGGTTCCTTTTAAGTTAATATTCTTTTTAACATCTTAAGGCCTTATCCAAGTTGCACCAAACAGTCAGTGGAAGGACCCTCACAGATTTAAATGAGCTTTGGATAGATGCTTTTCTGTGTCATTTCCCCTTTTTCTCCATGTATGACACGATCTTTTAAATTCTGTAGATGTTCTTTAAGTATTAATTTACTATAACAAAAAAAAATGTTTGCTGCCTTTTTCATGATTTATGCAAGTTACAGGATTATGTCTCTTTTTTTCCTCTCAAAAGCACTGATGGCTTTTAGGATCCTTTTCATACAATTTTGATAAAACTCAATATATTTTACAAATAAAAATATACCTTTTTATGTGGCTAATTTCCAAATATCCCTACCAAAGTATAATATTTTGAGGATCTGAATATTAGAAAGTCTGTCTAAGAAACTGTTTATGTATATTGGAATTCTACTGTTGTTCTTTCCTGTTTCCATGCACCATAAGAAATGTTAAGCTTGTAACACTGAAGTAAACTTTATTTCTTCTACAGCTGCAAACATTTGGTGGCTTTTTATTGTGTATATTAAATGATCATTGGAATGCATTCAATTAGGAGGAATGTATTTAACTCACTAAAGCTTTTCAAACAGTCATCTTCCACCTAACTTGAAAAACCATGATCAAAGATATTTCAGTTCTGTAAAGAGCGGTCCTTTAAAAAAAGGTTGATATGCAATCCAGGCACACTAGTTAATGAAAGAATGTTAAGGGTTTTTTTGTGTGCAGAAAGGCAGATAGTAAATTTAAAAAATTGGTTTAGTTTGGTCACAAGTTCAATGCAAAATACATCACAAGATTGTCTTAACTGGTCTGCTAATGGCCAGAATATGGTTTTGAAATTGTTCAGAATATTGCTCATCATTGGAATGGAATCACTCACATTAGTTTGATAATTGTTTTCAGAGTTAGGGTAATAAATTGACAGTATATAGATGGATAAACTCATCCATATTATTTCTTAAAAAAACTCATGTAAGCAGATCACATTTTATTAATTTTCCTATCTTTCTTTAATCCACTGATTTATTCCAAAAGCTGTTAATAAAGTTTACCTATCTCCAGATCGTCTCAGATATTTTTACAGTTGTCAAAATTGAAAATGTACCATAAACCCAATGTAAATGTTAAATGTGTTTCTTAAACATTAATGGGGTAAGCCACTTCTAAAGAAAATATGAGACTGATAGAGATCTAAAAACCACAGGGTTGCAGGATCATCTGTGGTTAGATGAAGACTGAAAGAAAGGCGTTTTTAGTAACTGATCTCATTAACCAGTTATCTAATCTTGGCTATATGTTTCTATACAATCTGCTGCACCCGCAGCTATTCACATTAGTGATTTAAGTAGCTTAGTGCAACCCTGCTGAAGATACTTTAACAACTCAATGGTATTAGCAAAAGTCATGCTGTTTGAGAATTTTTGTTCTCTGTGGCTGTGGAAATGAAATTAATAGCACAGTCAGTTCTACTGGCAACATGTAAACCTACATTGTCTTTTCTGTTTCATTCCAAATCCATGTGTTCTGTTATAATTTCAGTGTAATTCTCATTTTCACAGCTAAAGATGCCACTGTTAATTGTCTGGTGGCAACTGATATAATGTTTTATCACTGCATTTGTAGCTTGCAAATATACATGCAAAGTATACATATATTTATCATCAAGTTGTATATATATTATTAAAATCTAATTCTGTTACTGCCAATGGAGGAAATAGTTATCTGTCAGTCTTAAATGCATTAATCTATTCCATTAATTAACTACCAGTTTCCCAGTTATAAATCTGAGGTTACTGTTTTGTTGTGGTTTAACCACAGCCAGCAAGTAAGTACCATACAGCTGCTTGCGTACTCCTGTCCCCGCCCTTCTGGTGTGTTGGGGAGGAGAATCAGAAAAATGTAAAACCCATGGGTTGAGATAAGAACAGTTTAATAATTGAAATAAAGTAAATAATAATAATAGTAGCAGTAATAATAATAATAATGATGATGAAATGTGGGATTCACAGGGAGTGTTGCAAGCGACCTTGAACAACATAGCCTTGAAGGAAATAGTCTGAGAAAGTAAGTAATGAAGCAAGCGCAGAAAGGGAGCTGAAGATAAAAATGTTTTGAAGCACAGCTGTGAGACCCAAACTAGAAGACGTGTCTTGATTAACAGCACCAATTAAAAACTTAGCTGCGGCGCGTGGACAGCAGGGGTTAACCAATCCATGAACAAACTAGGGTGCGTGGACAGCAGGGGTTAACCAATCCATGAACAAACTAGAGCGCATGGACAGCTAGTGAATCTATATAAGCACAAACTTGTAAACAATAAAGGTCTTTGGTTTTACCCGCGCCAGAGTCCGTGAATCAATCCCTACAATGAAAAGAGAGATAACAAAGAAAGAGAGGGGAATAAAAGCCAAAGGAAAAAAAAAACCCAAGTGATGCCCAATACAATTGCTCACCACCCACTGACCAGTGCCCAACCCATCCCTGAGCAGAGATCGGCCCCTCCCAGACAACTCCCCCAGTTTATATACTGGGTGTGATGTTCTATGGTGTGGAATGTCCCTTTGGCTGGTTTGGGTCAGTTGTCCTGGCTGTGCTCCCTCCCAGCTTCTTGTACATCTCCTCATGGGCAGAGCATGGGAAACTGAAAAATCCTTAATTTAGGATAAGTGCTACCTAACAACATCAGTGTGTTATCAACATTATTCTCATACTAAATCCAAAAAACATAGCACTATAGCAGCTACTAGGAAGAAAATTAATTCTATCCCTGCCACAACCAGGACAGGTTTCCATTAATAAATCCGATCTCATTCCTTGTAGCCTGATTCAGAAAAATTTACTAATTTTGCTGTTAGCACACACAAGATAATACTATTCAGTTCTGTATTTCCCTTGCTTAATGATTTTGATGTGTGGGCATCTATTTCAGGAAATAAAGTAAGGAACAGGTGGTGAATTTAATGCCAAATTCTTCCCCTGGGCCTTTCCTTGATGTTGGTCAGGTTGCTAAATCTTGCTGATTTATAGCGTTATTGTATAGCCAATAGGTACAATATTAACCTACCATGACTGTCAGCAAAAATCAGCTTGTGTGCTATAGGGATATTTGATATCCAGTAGCTAGAAAATAATTAAGAAGCATATCTTTAGAAAAGAACAAATATCCATTTATCATGTTTTCTCCCTTTTCTCTCTCTCCCCCTGCCCCTGTTGATGTTCCAGCTTCTCTGCTTTTGGGTTTGCAAATATATTGTCTGAACAAGAATGTTTCCAAGAATTATTACATACTTGTTCCTCTTTCCAGGCCTTATTTTTCAAGATATTTTAAATGTTCTTTTATCCCTTCCTCTGCTGACAAAATTGGTCAGTTGCTTTGACTGACCAAACTCTTGGCTTTCACAGAAAGTTTTTGATTCAGTAAATTTTATTTACTATGGGAAAGACTCTGTACTCAGTAAGTTCAGAGATAGGAGTTTCATTCTTTCTATTAATAAAACTGCAACAACTAGTTAGGCAGCTTTTTGACTGTAATCCACCTTAAAATAATGTTTGGGGCTGGAAATATGACCATAAGGACACCTTCACACTGTTTTCAGTGACAAACACACCACAGTATAACAAAGCTCTTCATGCTGTTTCCATTTTTTAAAAACGCACAATTATTCCTAATTTGTGTTTTAGTCCTATGAAACATGTTTTTCTCATTGGTGGTAATCAAGCAGGACATCCATGAAAGAGATACTTAATGAATTGTTTAATTTGAAGCACTTTTCCCACTGGTGTGCTGATTGAATTTCTGGAGCTTTTATAAACTTCTTTAATTCATGAAGGATTTTGTTGTTCCTATGTTTCAGGTGGGGTTTAATGACTATGAATAGATAGCAGATGCACCTATCTTCCTGATTCTAGTACTGTCAAAATAAATCCAGAATTTTTCCAGCAATAAATGTTTTGTCCGTATTCATCCCTAAGTTTTAACTTGTTGTTTAGATCTCTCAGATTTTTGACCTCTTTTTATCTTCTTTTTTCTAAATTCTTTATGGTTTCATTCCTGAATGCACTCTGGGACAAGATTTTTCTTTCCTTCATGTTGACTTCCAATTTTATCTCCACAGTTTCACTTCAACTACATTTCTTTGAGCACACAGCATATACCTTGGAGCACCTCCTGTTCTCTTACAGTACTGTTCTAGGACACCAGAATCCCAACAAACACCAGAAATCCTCTAGAGAAATTGGTATCAACAGCTTCCCTAAATCCTTCATCATATCTTGGCTGCCCAAGACTACTTTTGTCTGTGCAGGGTACTTCATTTCTTTATAGTGACATTCAAGTATGTCACTCAAAAAACTCTAGTGATTACTTTTTCTCATAAAGACAGATTTAATGCAAAGTGTCCATACACAGTTAATAGCATGATGGTTACGATATCTCTGAATCTTTCTCAGTTTTGGTGAAAAGCATTCTGCTTTGTTCCCACTCCTTGTGAAGATACCAACAGCATGGTTTGGTTCATTTCAGGGCTGGGGGAGGTGTCAATTTATTCACACTAAACAAATGTTATTTACTGAATCAGAGTCTCTCTCTAGCAATGGTCTTGCAGATTTTTAGGTGATTGGTTATCAACTGAACATAAGGTATCTGTGATACTCTCAGAGAAATGATCTAACTTCCTATCTGTTTCTTGGTGCAACAATGTTTTCTGGTTCTCTCAAAAGAAACCGTCTATCTGGGCAAACCGAACCATCCACTCGAGTAACCATTCCATCTCCAGCACCTGTGCAGCCAACTGAGGAAAATATCTGGCTCTTGCTAGCGTAGTACCTGAGCTCTTAGTTATCTCTAATCCATCTCGTATCATAACCCATCTGAGAGACCTGCTGGGAAGAATTCAGGCAAAGACGACTGTACTGAGTTGCTGGGCAGATTATTCTGCAGAGCACCTGGGGGTTCTGCTTCTGCACTCACTGCTGCCCAAAGCAGTGTCTTGGCTACAATGTGCTAGGTACACAGCCACCTTTCATTCCCAAAGTCCCAGATTCTGCAGTTTAGACAGAACCAAAGAGATTCTTCCTTTCATGTAGTGCCACATAGAAGAAATTCATGCACAGGTTAGTGTGGGTGCTGGCAACATCTCTCCAACTTAGTGGAGCAAAGCCTACAGATTAATCTGCTTTGGTATCACTCCATAACATTGTATTATGATTAAGTGACTTCCTCAAGGAAATCTGTGGCATAACAGGGACTTCCCAGTTCTTAGCTTAGACACGTACTGGGCCTCCTATTTCATTGAAAGACGAACCAGTAAGTCTAACTAATCTATGCTCCAATATATGTCTGAAGGAATATTATAAGAAATTTGGTATATTTCAAATTTGTCAGCCTTGCAGACACACCCAGCAATGGAAAACCCCAGTTGAATTCTGAAGTTATTCAGAAAAAGAAGGATGGCTAGCCATTGGAAGAAAATTGAGATAGCAGCACATTAGCATGTCTTCAGTCTTCATAAAGGTAGCCCTCTTACACTGCACTCCAGCTTTTACAGCTAATTCTGTTCACCAGCTCTTTGGCACATGATACATAAAAACATATATAATGGTCTAAATAATATTTTAAAATGAAGTTAAGAAAGAATGCTGTTTATTCTTTGTGAATGCCTTTTTTGAGCTAGCAGCATTATTTAGCTAAGATAAAAACATGGTTACCATGGCTTTATTGGAGTGGCCTCCTCCTTGGAACTCAATGGTTCCAAAAGCGTCCGTCGGGCTGAGCTGTGTGTGCTTGCTGATGGACCACTTCTCCGACTGGATGTCATTGCGAGTAAGCCTGCTTTCATTTTTCTCATTCTGAATAACGGAGATGCTTGGAGTCAGTCCAACATGCTGACCTATTAGACGCCCACAGCAACACCTATGACATTAAACAACCAGAAAACTTGAGTCATGTGCATGTGTTAACTGAATAGGGAAATAAACGATCTTAAATGGCCTACAAATGTTAACCCCCACCCCCACCTTTTAAACTCTGCTGACCACTTTCCTGCTACCTGAAGCCTTTGCTTGTGGAAGCAACATAGTACAGATATTACCATTTCTTTCTATGATCTTGTTTATTTTGGACTCTCCTATGTTTCAATAAAATCATACTTTGTTCTAAGTATGTGTAAAATTAAGTTAAAGAATGTTTTCTGCTGTCTTCAGATGACATTAGGCCAAATAATCAGCTTTCGCATGGACTAGCAAGTATTTTAAACCAGTAGCTCATTGCAATTATTTTCTTTGACAGTATTGTGTATCATGGATCCAATTTAGGTAAATATTCAAGGCATTGAATATTGAAAGATAAGAAAATTAAACATAGATGCTGATCTACCTTTCCTTTGTCTTTTTTTTTTGGATGAAGTGAGTTTTGAGATATAAACAAATAGTGCCCATAGGAATCCATCACTCCAGATGTAATTCAACCACCTTCTGATCAAATAAGTCTTCACAAACTATTTATATTCATACACATATGTATGCACACATATATATACACATTTTCTTGTAATTGACTTTCATTTTTCATACAAGTAGCATGCATTTACCTATGGGGGTCTTTGGTGCTGGGTATGATATGAACACATTCTCTCTTGTAAAATGCTCTTTCTATCCATGATTTCTGTGCCTAAAAAAGAGAAAGGAAATGCCATGAACTCTGTTTGCTTGTGAAACACAACTTACACTACAACTGAAGAGAAACTTCAAACATAAAAGTTCACTGACTCTGCAGATATGCAGTGCACATTTTGCACAGAACAAACGTTTTCCATTAGAACTACATCTCTCTTCTAGAGCTAAGGACTCAATATAAGCTCTTAGAATTGTTTTCATATTCACTACCCAGATGACTTTGATGCTGTCGTCTATATTCTCATAGCAGGAATCATTGGAGAAGAATTAATTCAAACTGTAAAGCTTTCTGCATGGTAGAGAAAAACCACACCTTTTCATTAAAAATACTGAAAAAAAAATCTATTTCCATTTTAGTCATACAACTAAGTCAGCTCTAATAAAAAAAAATTCTCAGAAACCAGAAAATAAATATATCGTTATAAAACCTATAACACCATGATTCCAATGCACTTTGAAGAGTACTGAAAGTACTGTTTAACATGGAGTCAGAAAATGCAGTTTCATATGTGGACATCTTAATGAGAAATTAAAAAAAAAAGGAAGATCTGTTTCTGAAACAAGGCACAAAAAGGTTTGATACATTAAGAGTCAGATGATCAGCTGATGTAACCTCTAAAATTGACTGAGTTCAATTAAGCTATACCTGTTCATGACACTCAAGATCTTCCCCCACATATTCGCAGGAAAACAAGTAACTTCCCTCAGCGTAGTCTTTAATTTTCAGATACACAAGAGATCTTTTTTAAAGAAAGAAAGAAAAAACCTCAAAATAACAAACAAGAGACTTTCAGAGTTCTGAAATCTTTTTAATTATCTAGACAGTCCTTACTCCATATAATATGAATTCTGGCAAGCTCTTTCAAAGATTTCCCCAGATAGAATTCAATTATTTCATTTAATAAAGAGGTAATTGAAACATTCCTTTAAAAATTCATTTCAAACAGATATATTTTATAAAATGTAATTAAATTATAACATTACCTATTTAATTGCACAGCATAAACAGATCGATGAACTATGAACTTGACAAAGTTATCTGAGACTTAAGTAATGTGAAATCAGCTTTAGATAATTTAAAGCAAATCTGAACATCTTGCCTCTATTAAAAAAGAAAATATGAAATTGCCTTTATAACATTACCTAACTAATGTTACCTATTACTAAATAAGACTAGATAGTAACCTATCTAAGTACTATCTTTACTAACTAATGCTACCTTACTAACTATCTAATGTTACCTTTTGTCAACTTAATCTGTATCCTGTTTTTCATGTTTAAACCCAGAAACTTGGGTTTCTGGGACTTTTGAAAATCATTGTCAATTGGAAATTTCTTGGAGTCACTGAATGTCACTAGAATTAACTATAAAGTACTATAATAAGAATTTCTAGCTACATTCATTACCTACCACTCTCAGTACATGAAAAGTTATTATTTTGCTTTTTTCTCAGAAGATAATCCCTTATTGGATCTAGTGGTCACTGATGTTACATAACAATATTTTATCTTTGCTCTACTTGCATTTTTATTTGAAAAATCTGCTAGACTTCCTATTTTGTAGGAATGGCAGACACCGTAACATGACTTTTACAGTCAGGAAAAAGAAAAGTCTATTAAAAACATTAAATAGAACTGTATTTGATTGCTCTTCCTTACTGTAGCAAACAGAAAGTTAATATATTATAGAATGTGAGGCAAGGTTTGTTTCAAGTTTAAGCGAAGGACAGTTAAATAGAAATTCTGAAAAGTCTAATAAAGTTTTGCTTTACATAGGAGAAATTACCTTGAAGTTTGAATTTATTATAACTTCTAAATGCTTGCAAGCCTATGATGCAGTCAATAATATCATCATCATCATCATTACCACAACATTGTATATTATACAGTCAAATCAGCTTAGAAGTCTAGTGCATCATTGAATAATTTCTCAATTTAGCAGTCTTTCCAGGCAAAGAAAGGCTTTTCATAAACCAACTTTCTAGAACTGTCAAGCCCTCCAGAGTGAACTTTATGAACTTCATGTGACCTTTTTACTGCAGAACTTTTGAAGCTAAACTATGTGGGAAAATTAGGGTTTTTCTTTTTGTTGAGTGTTGCAGAGAAATAAAGGAAGTTACAATTATTATTCAGGTATTGCGACGCTAATATTTGAAATTACATACTTTACTGTATGGATCACATATTCTTGAGATTTCTCCCCTTCTAGCTCCAAGAGTACACAAGCTTTCTGTATTGCCTTAAGAATGCACACACTGGAAAGAAGATGCAGATTTATGAATCCCCTTTGTTGTATATGTGTATAATATGTATATATACAGATACAGTAACTTTTTGACAAAAGGGAACACTTACAGAATAATGCCAGTTTTATCTTCATGCTTGTTTGTTTTAACACTAAATAGATGCCTGCAATGTCCTTTATCTTCTCTGGAAAGCATGAAAAGGTTTTATAAGCCAACATTTCTTCCTGGCATCCAAAATCAGTTCCTACTACAGAGCTAACATAGCATATTATTATCATTCATGTTGCCAAGACTCCCTAAAAATATCCTTTATTAAATTTCATAAATTTTGAATACTTTTCTGTAAACAATTTACCCTAGTGAATTTACTTACTACATATACCTAATATATATTTTTCTAAAGATGGCCACTAATTCAATTTCTAATCCAAAAAAGGTGCCATAACAGGTATTTCACTGAATATTTTTTTTCTTTAGGTATACAAGCAGGCTTTCAAAACCCAAGAAACTGACATTTAAATTTTGTTTTCCTACTCTTGCTCATACTATCTTCCCAAGTAGAAAAGAAACCCAGTTATGTTAAATATAATAATAATTTTCTTTTGAATTGTCATCATACTTCTTCAAATGTAATATTGCAAAAAACCCAGTCCAATTTAAAAAGTCCTTTATTCACACCAGGTGAAATGACTTTCCAGGTTTTAGATCTCAAACAATATACCATCCTACCTGACAGAGTCATAACATCAAAATACCCAATTTACTAATTTCATAATTCCTTGTCATTCCAAACTAAACAGAAAATATCTAGTTTCACTGTCCCATGACAGTCATCTTTCTGTGACAGAGATCATTTGCAAAGAAATACAAGATTCAGAGGTGTAATAAATTATATTACTTGCTGAAGAGTCTTCGTTACGAAATTAAAATAACTTGAGGAAATCAACACATTCATAACAAAACAGTCTGCATTGAACTCTTGTTTATAATGTGAATTAATAAAGTAGTAAAAAGCTTAGAAAAGTATAGCAAAGTATTTTCAAGAATAGTAGAGCAAGAAGCTTATCTTTTCTTTCTCTTATTTCATAAACACTCCTTCTGTAATAATTCATATGACAATTTAAAGTCCACAGTGAATTCCTAAAGTACATGCCCTACTTGTACTTGGATCTAGTTTACTCATAGCTTAGATCTCCAGGTTAAGTCTCTCTCTTTATTAACTTAGCTACAAAACCCCACCAAGAACATTTTTTCTCCCTCTTCTTTACCTGAGCATCAAACTTGGTGTTTAAGTGTGTCCCGGAGTAAACTCTGCTGTCCACGTTGCCCTGCTGCCGGTCATCACTAATAACACATTTGCGACTGTCCCCCAAACAAGGCGCTCAGTCCATCCGTGGTGCAGAGATGTGAGTGCAAGCAAAGCCCTTGCACCCATTAGCTGCTTGGAATGTGCTACTGTGGGATTAACCTCGTTAAGGGTTCGGTGGACACTCACCCGCAGCCCCACAACACCGCTTGGTTTGAACATCTAATCTGACGCCAAAAGAAAAACAAATCCCCTGAGAGCTTGGATTTAACTGGCACAAGCCTTGACAGGCTTTTTTTCCCCTCTTCTTTCCCCCCTTAGAGAGCAAACTTGTGAAAGTGTGATAAGGTGCTCTGAGCTCTTAAGTTCAACCCGGGAAAACAAATCCTTCAAAAGAAACAGTGTACTAAACTGGAAAGAACCTGAGCACATAAGAGAGATTGTTAATCTCTGAAGAATGAAACCAGTGTGTTTACTGGGGAACTGTGAGAATCTATACACAGTTGAAATATATTGAAATTAATCAACAATGGCATTTTTCCAAAGAAGCTGGGGTTTGTCACTGTTTCTCACCACAGCTGCTGTACTGTAGTGAATATAACTTTTCAGAAAGTCACAACATAAACCTTTGTCTTTCAGAGACAAGTAACTGCATTGTTTTCATCTTAATTAAAAGTTAGTAACTTAAAACAAAACTTCAATGTTTACAAATCTGGGGACTACTTCTTTACTGTACCCTCTTGATATCAAAGCTGAAGAACAACCTTTTCATATAAGCAACATTTAGATTTTTTTAGCACATGGCAATTATATGTATTCAGTTACTTACTTCAAGAGTTTTCTAAATATAACATATATTTACCCCCCCCTCCCCCTCCCAAGTTTGGATGAATTCCTCTCCACTCCTACATATGCATACATACTCTCCTTTCCTTTTCAACAAGGATGCATCTAATGCATGGAAAACATTCTGCATTCTGTCCACCATTCTGCACTGATGAATATACAAGCACTAAACTATTTTGTGTGTACATTAGCTCTGATGGGCCCAGGATGGGCAAAGCTAAGCATATGCATCAACTTCTAAACTTCTTATACCATCACACATGTTGAGGCGCTTCTGCTAGGCTGGCTAATCCGTGAGACTTTTTTTCTCTCTTGGTTCCTTGAGTTTGTGTAAAATAGATATGTGTATTTTGTATGTAATGTATATATGAAGTATGTACATATACACACTCTGTATGCATATATATACACACTCTGTTCCAGCAAAGTTATGACCTGTAAGATTTCTCTACCACACAGTTCAGAGTGACAGAAACCATGTGCACATCTTGTGAGATCTCTTTAGCACAGGATCTGACCAAAGATGGTTTATGGAGAACAGCAAAAGTAAAGAAAGTTGCAGTGTCAAGAGAGCAGCTAGTAAACAGCTCAATGAGA